GGGTCTGCAACCTTGACGACTTTAAGACTTGTGGACTTCAGCTCCCAGAATTCCTCAGCCAGCAAAGCTGGCTGAGGAATTCTGGGAGCTGAAGTCCACAAGTCTTAAAGTCGTCAAGGTTGCAGACCCTTGCATTAATTAATAAACCGTGTCCCGATTCTCAAGCCAAAGGGAAGACAAGAACCCCTTTGAAAATCCCTTTAAAATTTGGCACTCGAGAGTTAATCCTTTAATCGCTTTCTGCGGGCGGCTTGGGATCAAAACCGAGGCTGTAGTAGATCCCCGCGCTTCCTTAGTTAGGCGTTCAGACGAGCCGCGTCTCCGCTGCCACTTGTGCTCAACCGGGAGCGGGTCTGTCCTAGGCGGCGTCGTTTTGCTTCTTGCTTACAATCTATTGGAAAGTTCGGGGGGGGGAGGGAGGGAGGGGACGCATCTCTTGAACCGGGACCTGCCATAGTGCCAAGAGAAGCGAGCCTCCTTGCAGGTCTCTGGAGACCCGGGTCGCCCCCGACTTCTGCGTTCCCCTTTTTTCCTCCGGCCGCTACTGGTGCTTCCCTCCCTTTCCCTCTCCGGAGGATTTCCAACAGGGTTGAGAAGCCAAAGAAACTAGGAGAAATTAACCTTTTTTTTTCAACCGAGCGGCTGGCTTTTTTCCTTTCTCTTTCTCCGCTTCCTAAATAATTTGCGCCTCGGTTCTTCCCGCTAACTTTCCGAGGCTGCGGGAATCGCGGCTCTGGTTTGACCGAATCCGATTTCTTTCCTCCGGAGACCGAGATCCTGCGGGAACGCGGTCTCCGAAGCCTTTTCCCCATTCCCAGCTGCCCGAATCCTGATCCCTGAATTCACCCTTGTCCCGATTCGCAGAGTATCTCGAACCCCGAATTCGCGACATTGCCCACATTCCTGCGGAACCCGCGGAGACCAAAGTCAAGTTTAAAGCAGAGACGATTCCTACGAGCTGTTTCTCCGTTTCCTCCTTTGGTTGGTGCTAAGATTCCCACCCACCCACCCACCCCGAATTCTAGAAGCCGGATTGTCTTCCCTAGAAGCCCTTTGCTCCAGGTCTCCCCAAGGTTGCCAGATAAACCGTGTTATCGCTTTCTAATATTTTGCAACACCAGTATAGACAGGTGTAATAGAAGCAACCGCAGCATTTTGAAGTAACTTGTTTCTTGATGGGCTGCCAAGGTGTAGAATAATGCTTACTAATAGCAATAGTAGCACCAAGTAGCCTCTCAGTGGCTTCCCGATTGGAAAGATGCAGAAATGGAAATAAATTAATTAAAAACTAATTTGGAGGCAGTGCAGAGAGAGCGAAGGCGGAGTTGATTTACGGCAAGGAGGCAAAAGCAGCCACTTCGCCCAGAGGATTAAATAGCAACTAAATTCTTTCGAGAATTCAGACTTTAGACTTGGGATAGTGTGTGTTTAATCCTGTAATCAGTTCTGGAAAGTCCGGGGGGGGGGGGGAAAGGGGATGAAGGGGGAAAGAATTATATAATTTTGGTGTATTAATAGAGAAATAATGAAAAAAAATTTCTTTTAAGTGGAAAGATGGCCGGCTGGTACCCCTAAACTGCATCTGAAGGATGAGGAAAAGAAGGAGGTGGGATGTGTAGGTTAGTTGGGAGGAAGGAGGAGAGAGGTGTGGATAGGAGGGGAGGAAAGTAAGAGGAAAGTAGGTTGGAAGGGAGAGAGAGAGGGAGGATGCGGGGGGGGGGGATTGCCGACCACCCCCCAAAA